CAGGCTTTAATGTAGATAGCATGCTCCAGTGGAGGGACCGAGTCAGAGGCCATAGCACGACTGATCCCTTCACCCGGCTCACACACACACTGCCTGGATTAAATCTCACAGGGAAACTGAGCGCCACACAAACACCCACTCAGAGTGGCAGTGGAACATACGAACACAAACAAAAACTCTGACTTAAATCATGTACACTTTGGTGCACACGCTGCATGCACATTGTGAAATCTTCTTAGCTGGCTCCCTGGTCTCCTCCAGGTGACGAGGTAGCGCTCCAACAAGCTGCTATAAAACGCTCATCAATCACGGAGGCTAATCTCAGGTTCTCACTGACACTTTCATTGTGCAGGCCTTTTCTATACGGCTGCCTCCACATAATGCCCTGCTCTGCCTGCTTTGGCAGGCCGGCAGCCCTGCAGCTCCCTGCCATGAGAGCCATTCTCAAGTGGCGCGACTTTGAAGTGAAGCACCGGTGAAGCTCGGGCTAATCTGGACATCTGGAGTCCTGCTGTGTGAAGCAGTACAGAGGCAAAGACTCAGCATATAGGTGACCTCCGCTCAGTTTTGTGGGGACTGATAATGGACTTTTCACCACTTCTATGGAGAGAGAATCCTACACAAAGCAGCTGCAGTCTTCAGGCATTACACAGAAAGTCCAGTAAGGAAAAAAAAGGTGTCACAGGGCTCTTTATTTCTGTCTTCAGTTCCATTAGCCAGAGTTCAGACCTACAACACGGTGAGTTGGCCCCGGGGCGCAGAGGGAGGCTCGGCAGAGAGCAAGACTGCAGAAAAAGACTGGAGGAAACGTCTGCAGTGTGGTTTGGAGGGGGCAGAGTATATTTCTAATCACAAGAAAACCTCCTGGCCACCTCTTCCATTTTTGTGTTTCTGTCCCTCGATCCCCACCAGCGATTTTTTGGTCCTCCAATCTTGGTCGCCGCTCTCGGCAGAGGGAACACAAACAGCCCTATTCAAAAATAAACACAGCAATTTTGTGCGTGTTTACCTTTCATTCTGCCATATCTATCTGTGATTCGCTGCCCCCAAACTGTTCTGTTCCATTTCATGCCGTGAGGAAGACCTTGTTTCTCAGCCCACTGTACAGATGAACGGGCGAGATAGAGAGTGCCATTATTCTGCACAATCATTTCTATCTTGTCCCCTCTTGCTTTCTCTTGTTCTTTTATAGCTGCATGCTGACCTGCGTGAATGCCAGGCAGCGAGGTTTTATTGCAGCTGGTACAGGTATATGTTTATGAAAACAGTTTATTCTGTTGGCGTGGAAAGGGCCATTCATAACATGATCATACACAGAGAACATGTGTGCTGGTCCACAGCGTCGAATAGAGAACTGTCCCCTTCAGATACACGGGAGCAATAATTTGGTGCATTGAACCCCTTTCAGAACACATAAAGAGCACACACACACACACACACACACACACACACACACACACACACGGCTTCACTGCCTGTTAGGAGGTGATGAGAGAGATTTGAAACTCCGACAGCGCTCGAGGTTCAGGACAGATTTTATAACGCTGAATAGATTCTGTGGCTTGTCTTTAAATTAACCCCATCACTTCTGCTTCCCCGTCAGATCCTGTTTACCTTCCAGAGAACCAGCCGCAGCCCTCATAAATGTTTCTGTGGAGGGTTCAGGTTTATGTTTGGAGCATGACCGGAGGAAGAGCTGAACCCCTTCTGGCTTCATTATCTTATCTTTCACTGGAGGTGCAGTTAGAGGAGAATTTCTTCCTCCCTGTACGATTGTTAGCTCAGAGAGAAGCTCCGACACCAACATCTGACATTTACTATTGATTCTTCTTCCACTGTTGAAAAGGTTCAGTTACATTTCTTTCCTTGACGTGAGGTCATACGGGCGCCTCAACATTAAAGAATAAATCAGTCATCACTCCCATCAGTTATAACATCATCAGAGTCACTGCTCAGGTCTGAGGACGCAGTAACATCACTAAATGCACATGATCTAAAACTCTAATTCCTCGTACTGTAAGAAAACTGACTACACACAGCTACAGTAAGAACAGGAGGTCAAAGCTGACGCAGGAAGTGTCTGTAAAATGTGAATGATGTTTACAGCAGAAAGTTTGGGTATTAATTTTCAGTGTCTTCTAAGACGGACTAACCTCTGGGTTTGTTTACAACCTGTCTGACTGTGTTTATTATCCTGTCTGACTTCTTTTCAGAGTCACTGTGAGCTCAGAGGTAGACGCACACGAAATAAGACTCTATAAAAAGACAGAATTATCCTTTAACTATTATGATGTCAGTCAATATTACTGCTGCAAAATATGATGTTTTTTCTTGTCATCAAGGTGTCAACATGCCGAATAAACACATCACCAGAGACTGTGACGCTCGCTTTGAATACAGAAACATATTAAATTCTATCTCTGTATCATGTGATCTGTTCACACTGTAACTGTAAATACAACATCTACTGCACATCTGTCCGACGCTGGAGGAAGAATCCTCCTCAGCTGCTCTTCATCAGCTTTTTCTTTGAGATTTCTTCCTGTTAAATATTTTTTAGGAGCTTGTCCTGATCGACTGTGAGACACTGAGGACAGAGGGAGATGTGTGTTGTAAAGTCCTCTGACACTAACTGTGATTTGTGATTTTGGGCCGTATTAGTAAAACTGAGCTGAAATTAAAATTTAAGGGGCAACCTCCTGGGCAAAAAAATGAACCCAGGCTGGCTCCAGGAGTGAGTCAATCCTCATTAGACCTCCGTGTTAAAATGTGGAAGTAAACATGTTTACAGCCTGGTACTAAAAACAGTTTTGGTCACTATGGCTAATTTCCCCATTTATGACGACTGCAGGGGGAGAGACTTTTTATATAATTCACCTGTTTGAGTGTTATGAAAGCTTAAAGTTATGCATAATTAAGGGTGTGGCTGCTTTGAGTGACAGCTAGGTGTCGTCTGTTGACAAGCTACCACCACTGCGAGAACGTTGGTTAGGTAACGTGACAACCCAATCTCCCTACGAAGTCTGTTTAACTGTACGCGACAGTGTCAGGGGGAAACGTGGTGGGAGACCAACGAAAGTTATCGCGGGGGAGGGGTGGTGGATGGGTCCGACAACCACTGACTTTCACTCAGGAGGTCGGTGTTCACTTCCTGTAAGATTGTAAAGCCAAACCCTGTTCTTTGTTCCTAAACCCAACCACATGTGTGTGTGTTGGCTAAACATAACCACGTGTGTATGTTGGCTAAACGTAACCACGTCTGTGTGTGTTGGCTAAACATAACCACGTGTGTGTGTCAGCTAAACGTAACCACATGTGTGTGTCAGCTAAACGTAACCACATGTGTGTGTTGGCTAAACATAACCACGTGTGTGTGTGTTGGCTAAATGTAACCACGTGTGTGTTTGTTGGCTAAACATAACCACGTGTGTGTGTTGGCTAAACGTAACCACGTGTGTGTGTTGGCTAAACGTAACCATGTGTGTGTGTTGGCTAAACGTAACCACGTGTGTGTGTTGGCTAAACGTAGCCACGTGTGTGTGTGTTGGCTAAACGTAACCACATGTGTGTGTTGGCTAAACATAACCACGTGTGTGTGTGTTGGCTAAACGTAACCACATGTGTGTGTTGGCTAAACATAACCACGTGTGTGTGTGTTGGCTAAACATAACCACCTGTGTGTGTCGGCTAAACGTAACTACGTGTGTGTGTTGACTAAACATAACCACGTGTGTGTGTTGGCTAAACGTAACCACGTGTGTGTATTGGCTAAACGTTTACGTCACAGTTAACCATCGCTGTGAATGCACCATGCTAACCAAACTACCATCTACCATTAGTGTTAGCTCCACCCTCTCATCCAAATACCGTCAACAATGGCTCCAAAAATCCAAGATGGCCACAGCCAAAAGGCTTCAGAACCTAATGAGTGACATCACTGTCGCTACACCCATGATTTTATACAGTCTATGATTAAATAACACTGTCTTTGTGCGCTGCTTTGTCTGATATGCTGTTAACCCTCTGACCAATCAGACAGAGTCCTCGCCGTGACATCATCTGATTGATCAGGATCTGTATTCATGAGGTATCAGACTGGTGCTGCTGCACGCTGCACGGCTGAAGGAGGAAAGTGAGGATGAGTGCAGACACAGTGTGAATGTCAGAGAGGAAACATTATTGTGAACAGATGCTCAGGGATTTTCTGAGTTAGTTAAAAGAGAGCATCAGTAGAAAACTGCACTTTAAAATGTGACTATCCTCCTTTATATTTTTTCATTGGTGCCTTTTGTGTTGGCTCAGTGTTCAATAACAAAACGTCAGAAATCATTTCCTTTGATTTTTTAATTCAACAAGCAATTTGTTGTATTTTATCAGTAAACTGAAGCAGCACAGAGGCATCGTGACGCCTTTGTCAGAGTGTAACTGGGTTACTGTGAAATTTAGAGATAAGAAATCCAATTTCTGGAATTAGTGTTAGGTCTCAAAGAAACCAGGTTAACTCAGCTACATTTGGACTTGAGAAGCCTCATCTCTCCTCCTAACCAGAATTCTAACAAGAGTTTATGTGCGTGGCAGACAAAGTGCTGCAGCGGCATCAGTGCGACGAGGATGAAAGTCAACATCATATTATTTAGAGCGGAGGGTCGCTGTATCCAAATAATTAAATCCAAAGTCAGACTAAAACTGGAACTGACACTAAAATAAAAAACAGCAGCTTCTTTCAGTCTGAATAAATTCAATATTTTGCAATTTATGAACACGTCCTGCACTGTGAGGAAGAACTGTGCTCGCTCACTGTTCTCCAAATGATCTTGTAAAAAACAACGTCTAATCTAAAGCCTTGAAATAAGCTGTGGTTCAACAGTGTGGAAGATAAGAAGGAGAAATGATAACTGGCGAGCTGTTTGTAAAGACAGGTCTGAATTCTCCCAGTAAACAGTTTTCTCGTGTCCTTGTGAAAGTACAGCGTTATCAGATATTTACAGATGATGTCTGACCTTGGATGGAAACCTTTGGATGTTCTTTCTTCGTGCACTCCGGTTGGGTCAGCGGGTCAAACAACGACAGGGTCGCCGGGGCAGCCGAGTTCTGCGTGAAGACAGCTGGGAGGAGGAGGAGGAGCAGGAAGAGGCCGGCCATAGACGAGGGGGTGGAGTCCTGCGAGGACGCTGTCATGGTGATAACCTCTCCTCTAACTGCCAAGGTGGGCCTCTGGGATACAGCTGCAGAAGAGAAAAGTTTCAGCACCTCAATGCAACATTTTTCACACCTGGCTTCAAAGAAAAGAATCTCTCTCTGAGTCACTTCAAAATCATTTCTTCTCTCCAACTTTCAGTTCCTGTGGGCTCTGAATCCAGCACAGAGGAGCAGGAAGAGAATGAAAAATAATGCAAAAGGCATAAAATTTTGGTAAAAAAGGACATATACGTGGGATGAAAGCGAGGATGTTAGGTAACTAGCGGGTGGCTAGAAAGACGAGATATAAAGCTGAGTAAATTACAGAGTAAAAAAAGAGGAGAGAAAGAGAGATGGAAGGTGTGAAGGACACAGAGTGGAAAAAAGAAACTGGCCAGAAAACTCTTCCGCTTCAGCATTTTAAAGAAATACCTAACCTCTGACCTCCAGATAATTATTTAAAATGTGCAATTAAACTTTGGGAGTTAATTTAATGGCTGATTAAAATGAGAAAATTGAATGCAGTAGTGGACTGTTCAATGAGGCAGAAGCTTCCACAAGTCGATGGAGCAGAAATGAGCTCACTTAAAATTTGTGGCTCTTAGAGATGTGCCGGGAAAATGTTTGCACAACTATTAACTTCCTGTCCGCTCAGAAGGCACTTTTACTGCACGTGTGATGCATATCAGCACATGAATAATATCCAGTCATCCTCTGACCTCTGTGTCCGAGCCATATTTAAGCAGCGCCAGCCAGCAGACACACACACAAATGCTCCAACAGAAAATGCACATGCAGGCGCTCTGAATGCGTCCTGAGCAAATGTAATCTCTTCCAGTCGTAACATATGAGTCTACAGAGCTGAGCTGAAACCAGCAGTTCATCATCTCCCGGCCTGCGCTCCTTACGATGTTAGCTTAGCGAGGTGTAATATCATTTAAGTAGATTAAAAACTGAGAGCATCAACTTTCTGCAGCACTTTGGCTGGGTTACATCTCTCTGTGGTGTTTTTCCTCACTAATGCTTCAATCAATAACAAATTATTAGCTTGGTTGAGTTGCAAATCAACCATCTTGCCCTGCAATCAATTATCCCTCTCTCTACAGCTGCTAACTAATTAGGCAAATGCACAGAGTGCCCATGTTTGTCATTACAAAACAGTGGAGTCAACAGGCCCTGAGCTCCTGCCAGCAAACATACTGATGATGGAACAGGTGGAAGTATTCACTGCACTCTGCACTGGACTCACTCAGGCTGGATGTGAGCTCACTGTTAGGCCCATCATACACTACAAGACTTTTAAAGCACTTTTAAAAGACTATAATCAGTCAGAGTAAATGTCAACATGTATTTTTAATGGTTTGATGTAATTAGAAGATGAATACAAAAGGTCTTCAGAAAAAGATCAGAATCATTTTTGTCTCAGCAGCTGGAGGGGCGTCTCCATGTCTGAATGGTCGGATTCAAACAAACTTGTGTCGAAGCCTCATGTCACGGACAGACAGTGGCCACGTTTCCCAGTTAAGAGTGATCTTAGGACTTAGGAGCTCAGTTAAGAACATCTTTGGTAAGAAGGGTCGCTAAGGTACGAGTGTTTCCCAGATGCCTTTAATGCCCTTCTTAGGATCGCTCTTTAAGACGCTCTCAACAGGAGCTGACCACTGCCGCGGTGCTGAAACTAAATGAATCGATGTCAGGCACATCGATCACCCACAACTTCATCAGCGCATAAGTCACACACAGCGCTGCTACCTAACGCACTAATTCCCTGCTGCTCGTGTGTATGTGTGCTCTAATAATTCTAATGAAAAACTAAAACAATAAATATTTGTTAATCACCTACTTTCATGACGAAAACAAGACTATGACTAAATAAGAAGCAGTCTTGGTAAGAGAATGATGAGCTCACGTGTGTGCGCTTGCGCAAGGCCGTGAGACATGGGCACCGTGTTCATGTGTGTTCACGTGCTTTCGCTGGTCTCACGCAAGCGCACACACATGAGCGAGGTGCCCAGAGAGGCAGTCAGAGCTACAGGCTACAATGAGGCTAAAAACAGAGTTCAAATGAGGTTTTTCCAAACAACTTTTTATGTCGGGGCTTCAGGACACTTGGATCACTACGGACGAGCAGTATGGAGATATTTTGTGGTTTCAATGATGTGTTTTTGGACGTTTGAATCTGGGGCGCCGTCAGCCTCCATTAGGTGGAGTTGTGTTGCTACCTCCTCTCCCCTTGGATCTCTGCAAGTGATGTGAGTCTACTCTAAAACTTCACCTGAGCCTCCCTCGGCATATGGGTGAGTAGATAATGGCTGAATTTTCATGTTGGGTGCACTGTTAAGTGTTAAGAGCGTTCTTAAGAAGCTCTTACAGCTAAGAGCGATCTGGGAAACGCAGCCAGTGTTGTTAGCAGAGGTACTGAAGCATAAGGACCACAGCAGAAGACACTGGAAGACTTTTAAAGGTTAAAGTCAAGACAACGTGAGGTTTCAGTCACACATTATGACGTGTGTCAAAGACTGCAGATCCTGCAGAGTCACTATTTACAGACTACAACTAGATTCCTTCTGAGATTATTTCCCATCCTGCTCCTGCTGCAAAACATTACACCAAACTCCCTTTAAGAAATGTGACATGTTAATAATTCTTCATGTGTCTACAGAAACACATCACTCCAGACACACAAGGCGCCATGTGTGGAAAGTATTTTGTCAATTCGGCATCAATATAATCCATAAAGATAGACTGTATCTGAGAACAAACTTCACATTTTGGATTTTCTCCCCTTAACTTGCTACCAGCCTCTGTTGGTCAGCTTTTAGTGGGAAGAGACTGTGTTCATGAACTTCAGTATTTGCAGGAGCCAAAACTAAAAATGTATGATAACATTAAATATGTTTGATTTTGTGGGAACATTAAGAAAAAGACAATCGGACCACCTCACACCGAAGGATGATCATCACAGCAGCACACACACCACTGAGATAAAACTCATGGTTTTATTCTGACTCTGTAAATTTGTCCGCAGCAGTGAAATCGCTTGAAATGCCATTTGGTGCGAGGCCAGCGTCAGACCACATTCAGGATGAAAATGGCACTTCAGTTAAAAACATGCAGTTGACAGGTGAGTTTTAGTGATCCATCAGTTTCAGATCTTCATCATACTGCCTGCATCACTGCTCACCATGAGGCCACTAAGTTCACTGAAACATATGTGAGGTCTCTGAGCTGAGGGCCGAGCTTGATGTTCAGACTGTGATGGAGCTCAGCAACCAAGTAATCTGCATTTTAGCTCTGACTGTGTTCCCTGCTCGTCTACCTGTGGGTTCTGTTACCTGTTACCAGTACCTGGACAAGATCACGTCACGGTGTGATCGCATGGCTCCCAAACATCAGGCTCAGTTTCCTCTGTCTGTGCTACAAAGCAACACTGGAGGTTCTTTAATGTCTGGAAGTTCAAAATCACCAAGAGTTTATACAGAGTTTCCCTGATTGGCTGGACTGAGCTGAGACTGCACCTGCATGCAGGTGTCAGTGAGTGATGTGTGTTGGTGCTGCCAACATTTAACGTGACGTGAGTCCAACATTTAACTCTGCAGATGTCAGAGAGGAAAAACACTTCATGTTCTCAGTGGTGTCTTTTTGGATCGATTGTGTTGTTTAATTTGGAAGTCCGGACTGTTTCTATCCAGGCTCAGAGAGGTGAAAAAGAGAATTATGTTCAAGTCTTGACATCTCACAATTTCTTACAACCAAATTCTAATAAAGCCAAATCTGTCAGAATGTGAAGTGTGCATGTTTAATTGAACCTTCAGGACACAAAGCTCTTCAGTCGGATTATTTTCTGTTTAAACAGCTGAAAGATGCTGAACTAAAGTGAAGCACAGCAAATTCTGCCGCTCAAAATATTGTAGTGATGCTTTTAATCAAAACTAAAATCTGGGACCATATGTTCCTAATTTTAACATCTCCTGATTGGCAGTCTGTTGCATAATTAATTGAACTAATTATTTTTGAGACTTGGAGCAGATCGGTGCCTGGTTATCTTTCTAAACTTTTAGTTTACTTGTTTGTCATATTCTTTTATTTTATTTAACTTTATTTTATTATACTTCATTTTATTTTGACATATTTTATTTTATATTTTCCTAATTTATTTCTATTTTATGTTTTATTTCTATTTTACTTTCTATTAATTTTATTTTATTATATTTTATTTTATCTTAATCTATTATAATTTCATTTTGCTTTATATTTATTTTATTTCAATTTATTTTACCTGATTTTATTTTATTTTATTATATCTTATTTTACTTTATATTTATTTTATTTCATTTAACTTTTTTTTATACTACTATTATAATACTTTATTTTATTATCTGGCTGCATCAGTGTATTCATTCCTGTAGAATCAAGGCCCATTATCACACTGCAGCAGATCCAGTGCTGTCAAAAAGCAGTGTGATATAACCTGAGATATCAAAGACGAGCAGCCTCGCTATGATTTGCACAGAAAATCATTCCTTCAGCAGACTCTACATTCATTTTTAGTTTTCTGACATTTTCTTGCTCTTAGTCCTTCTGACAGGAGACAGTGAAGTGAAACATGAGGAGACACACGATTATGAAATCAAACTGAAAACATTATGCGTCCCCACCAGGACACCTCCTCCTCTTTATTTGTATCTTCCTCAGGAGCCGAGCGGGCAGGTGCTTCATTCACATTAAACACTGAGTCCTGAAAGTCAAAGAGCGACTGTACAAATCCTCTCATTAGTCTAAGAGCTGGACTGAGAGCGAGCAGGACAGGAGATCGTGACAGACGGCCGGCGCTCTGCTGTAAGACTCTGGGTTGTCTTGGCATGAACACACACACACACACACACACACACACACAGGGAGCCGCACTGTCAGCAGCGGGATGAGGTTAGTACAGGGATGTCAAAAACTCTGTAGAAAAGTTGTGTCACTCAAGCAACACACACACACACACACACACACACACACACACAAAGTCTCAGTTCAAAAACTGGCAAAATCCAGCCAT